AAAAGGGTCAAGCATTGAGTACAAATTTGTTTCGAGTTTCGAGTTTTCTTGTATTGCTTCCTAGTTTGCTAGCATAATATTTTTGGATCAACCCGTGGGGACTGGATTCTCGTACTCAAGAAACCCGCGTGCGAATAGACGTAGCGACACGATTTCAGCCAAGCAAGTCTATGAATTTGTTCGAAAGGTAAATCATACGTATACTTGAGAGGTACATTGCGAGTTTCTTGGCATTTACGCTATCAATGGCAATTCAAATAAGCGGTGTGATACTTTTGATATGTTTTTTTCTTTTGAAGTTTCTCATCGATCATCCGGAATTCATCTCCAATCCTTTTTACGTCTTTGGAGATTCTTACGCCGGTAAGATCGTCCCGGCAATCGTTCAACAGATCTCAAAAGGTGTGTTTCTTCGTTTCTATGAACTTGAAATAGGGTTTCTTCGTTGAATAATTTCCCACTCGATAAAGGCTTACCCACACGAGGCCGATGCAGGAAATGAAGAAGGCCTCAAACCTCTAGTAAATCTTCAGGTTATCCGATTTCTTCAAATGATTTTGTACAAATATATATATGCTAATAACATCGTATATCTTCAGAAAAAAACATAAGAGGATTCATTTTTTTCTGGTACGGGAACCAACAGGGTTATGTGGTCGGAAACCCTGTAACCGATCCAAATTTCGATATCAACTATCGAGTTCCATTTGCTCATGGAATGGGGCTAATCTCCGACGAGCTCTACGAGGTAAAAAGAATATGTCTTGCCGCAGTTTCTTGTGGCCAAAGTTATGTTGTAATCCGACAGGTTCAAATCTCGTCTTTTGCAGTCGCTGAAAAGAACCTGCGGAGGAAATTACATAGTACCAAGAAACTCGGAATGCACCAAATTCATTCAAGATTATGAGGAGGTAACTTAATTTGTAAAAACGTTTCTTTACCATAGAAAGCAAGAGATCAACCGGTAAATGGAGAATTTATTTTACGGTTTCATTACAGAGTGTTTCAACGATGAACAAAGAATTTATTTTGATTCCGTGGTGTCATATATCGCCTAAGCCATTACAATCAGATTCTACACACAGACGAGACCTTAGAGGTTTTCCCGATGCGAATCTCCCGATTCCTGTTCTTGATTGCTACGTAAGTAATCTTTCCATGTATGCTTTAATATTACATTGTCGTATGTTTGGATTCAGCGCCTAAAATAAACCGATTCCCAAACATAACAGATATGTTCTCTGCATGACTGCATGCTTTTGCTTTTCACACGCACGCAGGAATATCGACGTTTACTATCTTCTGTTTGGGCTAGCGACGAAAGCGTGCAGAGAGCACTCCATGTCGCTGAGGTACAATATTATGAGGGCAATAATGTAATTATCTGTATTAGGGTTTTAACCTAACTAGGGTTCATGTTACAAAAGAATAGAGTTGTGAGATTGTGATTATAGGTGTCAAACGAGCAAGTTCTCCCCGGCTCGACTCGAGTCAACTCGTTTGAGTTCAATTCGTCATGCTCGTTTTCAAACGAGATAGAAAAACTTTGACTCACATCAATTCCCTAGTTTCCCGAACTAAACAAACCAACTCACAGGACTAGAAATAAATATAATACTTTTTATTTATATTATAAAAAGTAATACATAAAATGATATTTTAGTATAAAATTTAAATATTAAAATATCAAACTTAAATATATAAAAGAAATTATACATACATAATCAATAAAAAAAATTAAATTAACTCTTAATTTTCTATAAAATATATATTTTTAAAAAATAAACATCACATCTCGCGAGTTAGTTCATGACTCGTCAATCTAGCTCGCGAGTCTCGCGAACTGTGGTGAACTGGCTTATTTGACTCGTTTCCGAACGAGTTTTAAAAATGTTAACTCAACTCGCTAAAAAAATGAACCAATAACGAGTCAGTTCACGAGTTGAGATCGTTTTGATGTCCCTAATTGTGACTCATAACTAGGTCATCTTTTTTTGTAGGGAAGTGAAAAGGAATGGATAAGATGCAGATGGGATTTACCTTATGACCATGACATTGAAAGCAGTATACCGTACCATGTGAACAACAGCATCAAAGGATACCGATCTCTAGTTTTCAGGTCTACTACTATATATATAATTCTTTCTCAAGAACACATTTGTGTTTTACTAGTGTTTGAAAAGATGAACTAAGGGTTCGGAGATTTACAAACAGCGGCGATCACGACATGCTTGTGCCTTTCCTCGGGACTCAAGCTTGGGTAAGATCACTCAACTACTCCGTTATCGACGACTGGAGACCATGGATGATGAATAACAATGTCCTCGGGTAAAACATATCTTCTTTCTTAATATTCTATTTTTATTTCTGTAATGAATTAAGAATCGACCCCAAATAAACTAGTTCTTACAGTGTTCAATCGGTTTTCTTGCGCAGATACACAAAGACATACGCGAACAAGATGACATATGCCACTGTGAAAGCAAGTCTTCTTCTCCTCCATGAGGAAACACATACACATTTCTTTAGACATTATAGCGTCAGACAAGATTTTGATTTACTATACTTGTGTTTTAATTTTACCTTCTTATCTTTTTACTGTCCTTATCTATTCTACTGTCCTTTTGTCTTCTGCAGGGGTGTGGGCACACTCCAGAGTACAAACCAGAGGAAAGCTCGGTCATGTTTCAGAGGTGGATAAGTGGCCAACCTCTTTAGTTACTTAACCCTGCAATTATTATGTTGTTTCGCTCTTTGTTGCTTATTAGATTATTCATCGTTGAAGATGTTATGGCTTTTGATTTTCATTTATTTTCCTTTAAATTGAAGATAAAACTCATAAAATTCAGAACCAAATCAGACGAATATATCCCAATATTACATCTGGCTTCAAATAAATAAAGTTTTAGGTTTTTGTTGTAAAGAGACGGTCTTTTACAATTTCAATTCGATTTGTAAATGTAATCTATAGTTTTTCCCTTTAAAAATACGCATGGAAATGTCAAATAGATCATATCCATTTGGATTAATCATAATTTGTTTTTTGAATCAATGAAATAAATCAGAAACGAATCTATATACATACAAATTCACAAAAGAGAATATAGTAAGTGAAGGTATTTTTATAAATTTTATTTTAATTCTTAAAATGCGTAATACCATTTTTTTTCTATACAAATCTCGTATGTATAAACAAATATGTGCGAAATATGAAAAAGTCCAGAAATTTTAATTTTTTATGCAGTCTATATTTATTTATTAAATAATAGATATGAAAATAGCTTTAATATTTACTAGATTCATACCAGCGAATTGCAGCTTTTTTTCCATATTGTAATCTAACATAAATAAAGTTTTTCGTTTAAAATTTTTACCAAAAAATTGTTTATATTAAACATTTCTATTTCGAAATTTTTTTTCTTCGTGTGCAATTTTGTTCTTCTGTTGTTTCTTTTGTGGTGCTATTTTTCATTTATTTCATGTAAACATGCATGTATATTTCAGCACTTCGAGGTTCCGGTTCCCTTCTAATTCTTAGGGATGTCAATTAAGCCTGGAATCTGAAACCCGACCCGAATCCACTCGAAAATAATAAGGATGTAGGCCTAAAAAATATAGGTTCATTAAATTTTGGGCTTTCGGGCTTCGGACTAAATGGGCTACGGGCCAGTCGGGTCGAACCGATCGGGTCTCGGACCGGGCTTGAAGTCCATTAATTTTTTTTTCTAACCTTTTTTTCTAAACCAAAGCTTTATTTTCGTATGATTATCCTAACTTTTTTTAAATCATATTATATTATATATTGATAATCTTCTTTTGTATTATTTTTTTCTACTAAATCAAACCTAATACTTGCTATTTGATTATGTTTTTTTTGTTTTATATTTTTCTTCTTACTCTGAATTGATTTTCTTTCGTACTGGTGGGTTGGATTTTGTTCTTCGATACGTATAAATATATATGCTATATTATATATATATATATATTTGTGTATTTGAACCAAATGACGAAGTTTTATATTGGTTCAATCACCACTTTTTAAAATGACGAAAGTTTATTGTTTTAACCATATTATATTATATATATATATATCAATTTATATTTGTGAATTTTGATAGTGTAGAAACTTTCAAATATATATATTTTAAAACCTTTGTTTGCAAATGAACATATTGATTCTTTTTCCACAGGTTTCAAGTTAATTACATCATATAATATTTTTTATACTATATTTTTTTAATGTTTCATATTATTATCATCATCATCATCATCATCATCATCATCATCATCATCATCATCATCATCATCATCATCATCATCATCATCATCATCATCATCATCATCATCGTAGAAAAAAAATATTTTTATTTGATAAAAAAACCCGAAGTCCGGTCCGAACCCACCCGAAACCCTATAAGACCGGACTCCGAACCATCGATCGTAGGCCCGAAAAATAAATGGGCGGCCCGGCCCGGTCCGAAAAATTCTAGGCCCGGTCTGAACCCGGCCCATCCCGCCCATTTTACACCCCTACTAATTCTACTTTGGTTGGCATATTTTGACTTTCAAAAATTTATATAGGTACCGTTAAATTTGGTTCTATTCGTTTTCTATTTTTTCTAAAAAATTTATTTCTTAAAAAATATAATTTTATTATTTTATACTCTATTCAAAATTATTTTTTTATTTTAAAAAATTATACCAATTCGAATTCAAATATAATTATAAATTATTATATTTAAATCAAATCTATATAAAAACCACGAATTTGGATTCGATGTCAAAATATGATTACCGTGAAGTAATATAATATTTTTTTATATTTTATTTTCATATAAGGAAGGAAGCCGGTAAATGTCATGCCTCCCAGACCCGACTCTATAATCCAAATCCAAAACGCCCGGGTCAGGTCAGGTCGGGTCGGGTCGGATCCGGGGTCAAATCATACCCATTTAAATTGCCGCCCTCAAACTAAAACCCTCCATCCTAGGTTACTTTCTCGCCTCCGTCTCCCGCTTTGCTCATTTCTCTCTCTGTTCTACCGTGGCTCTGCTCCGTCGAATCCTCCGCCGTCATGCGTGAGTTCCGGTGTAGATCCGTCGATTGGAAGCCATCTCCGGTGGTTGCCCTCGCCACCTTTCCAGACGGCTCCAAGGTCGCCGCGGCTCGCGAGGACGGGGCTCTTGAGGTTTGGGTCGTTGCTCCCGGCTCCGTCGGATGGCACAGTCAACTCGTACGTACTCTGCGGTTTCCTTCTCGAAACCTAATTCTCCTGCTTTCGATTAGCTCGTTAGCAAGTCAATTGGATTTGTGGAGTATGTAGAGTTGATACGTGTTTTGGTTTTTGCCTTTCGGGTTTTGGTTTCTTTTCGACCTTTGATAGACCATCCACGGAGACCCTATTTCTAGAATCTCGTCCCTCGCGTGGTGCCGTGCTGGTTCTTCCGAT